TATGAGACTGTCAGTTTAGGACTATAATCTATTTATAAGCCCCCTTTCTGTTTGTCATTTATTTTTTATTTTAAAAATTACATTATTTGCTGGGCAGTGGTGCAGGAGGCCTTTAATCCCAGCAGACAGGAGACAGAGGCAGGCGAACCTCTGAGTTTGAGGTCAAGTTGGTCTATGGAGCGTGTTCCAGCATAGCCAGGGCTACACACAGAGAAACCCTGCCTTGAAAAACAAAACAAACTAATTATATTATTTATGAATTTACTTAAGGAAAAAGCTTCGTCTCGTATGCAGAAGCAAACAAAACTACAATGCGAACAGAGGAGAATGGGGAAGGAGGCCAGTGGGCTGAGAAGAGACCAGCAGGCTGAGAAGAGGTCAGCGGGCATTCCCTGAAGATGGAAACAGCGGAAACATGCACATTTACGCACATTCATGAGCAGGAGTGCTGTGAGGCCCATCACTCTGCACAAATAATTTGAGATAGCAATTTGGGTTTTTTTTTTTTTTTAAAGAGAGGGTTTCTCTGTAGCTTTGGAGCCTGTCCTGGTACCAGGCTGGCCTCGAACTTACAGAAATCCACCTGCCTCTGCCTCCTGAGTGCTGGGCTTAAAGGCGTGAGCCACACCACACCACCGCCTGGCTTGAGATAACGATTTGTAACAAAGAATGAATAGAGAGGCTGGGAAAGTGGCTCAGTGGGTGAAGTGCATGCCAGCAGGCATATGGACCTAGATTTGACCCCCAAACCCAACAGATCTGTAACCCGCAAGGTGTGGGCCCATACAGCAGTGGATCCCCAGAGCTCTGTGTGTAAGCTTCTGTGGAAGAACAGTGAAATTTCATTTTCTTCTACAAACTAGAATATATTATATTCACTGATCTTTTCAATTATGTATTTATTACATAATTATACACATAAAAGTATATAATGCTACTTAAAGTTGGAAACTAAAAGTTTAATTACATATTTCAAAGACTTTTTTCTTTTAAAAAGGCAAGGGCTTACACAATTCAGGCTGGCCTCAAACTCAGTATGTAGCCAAGGATGACCTAGGACTTCTGATCCTCCTGCCTCTATGTCTTCAGTGCAGGGATTACAGGTGTGCACCGCCACACTCTTCTGAGCAGTGCTGGGGACCAAACCCGGTGCTTTAGCATGAAGGCGAGTACCCTACCAATGGGTGCATCCTAGCACACCACTGTGAAGTATTTTATTCCTAATTTCATCATCATCTACCTAGGTGGTTTTATGAAACTTGTCTTTTTATATTTACTGTACTACACATGAGGACACAGTATATATTACTGCACTATACGCTAGCACACAGTATATATTACTGCACTATACGCTAGCACACAGTATATATTACTGCACTATTTACTAAGACATAGTATATATTACTGTGATATATGACCCCTTTCATGAATCACATATCAACAGTGGTGATTCATGTCTGTATTCCCCAATACTTGGGTGGAAAAGACGGGGGGGGGGGGGATGTTAAGAGTTCAAGGTCACCCTTGCCTACATAGCAAGTACGAGGCCAGTCTGACAGTATACAATATCCTGCCCCAGAAAAGCAAAACTAACCCTCCAAAAAGAATATTTCTGTAGATTTTATGTTTGGCTATCTCTAAGTCTTAATTTTACTTTACAGGTTATATAATTTAAATTACTGTCTCGGTGTTCTTGGTGCTGGTGAGAAAACACTGTCATCACAGTTAAGTGCCTTGGAGACGGGAAAGCGGCTCAGAGGAAGCCACCTGCAGCACACCTGAGGACTGTCGTGGTGGGAGAGAAGACCCCCATGGGCTGTCCTCTGACGCCCACATGCTCACCACGGCATGAATACATGTACGGTTGTGCAGGCAGGTGTGTTCTTACAGAGGCTAGAGGACAGCCTTAGGTGGCAGTGTTCTTTAAGCTGTGTCCCTGCTTGTGTTTTAGATAGGGTCTCTCATTGGCCTGGGCTCATGGATGAGGCTGGGCTGACTGGTCAAAGTGCCCTAGGGATCCAGCTGGTCCCCACCCCATGCTGGGATTACTGAGGAACTCAGGCCCCCACTCGCTCGGCAAGCCCTCTGCCAAGTTTCTGCCTTACCAGACATTAAGACAAGTAGAGCCGACATAGATTTCACTGTGACTTACTGTGCTCTTATTGCCCTTATCATCTCGTTTAATAAAGTTCATTAAAATTTTAAAAGTCTACTTTTTAAAATAAAACTTGAAGTTTTGCTTTTATTCATACATAGTTTATATTTTGTTATATGTGACAAATATTCTTTCAGTTAGGTTCACTTAAATCATTTCTTTGAATAAACTTAATTTCATTTAATATGGGATTTAAAGTAAAAGATTTAAACGACGAGCAAGGGAGACAAGTCAGCTGGCAGAGTGCTTGCCAACGGTGTGCAGGCCCTGGGTGTGGTTTATGGCACAAACATATATCCCAGGGCTGTGGATGCAAAGACAAAAGATCAGAAGTTCAAGCTCAGGGAAGATGACGGTGAAGGTTGAACACTTCCTGCCCAACCATGAAGACCACAGAAACCCCTCCTCAATGCCAGCTGGGTGCGGCGGCCCACCTCTACCTCCAGCCTCAGAAAGCAGACACAGAGCCAGCTGGCCAGCAAGACTAGATTAGCCATATGTGCAAGAGCCTCTGCTGCAGCGGCTAAGGAAGAACAATAGGATTCCTAACATGAACTTGGGCCTCTACAAGCATGTTTATATGTGTGCATAGGCATGCACACATTCAAAAAATGTGCATATCATACACACATGTGAAAAAAGGCCAAGGTCACCTTCAGTTACATAGGAAGCTTGAAGTCAGCCTAGGCTACTTCAAAGAGCTACTTCAGAGCCTGTTCCAAATAATATTAAAATGATGTGTTTCTACAGTGTAATTCTAGCTTCCAAATCTATTACTTGAGGAGTTTTCCTAGAGTTGCAGAAGGAAATCCTCCTGCACCCAGGTAGGCAGAGAAGGCAAGCATTGCTGCCTTCCTATGACTGCATGAAATGCAGAGAGCATGCTCCATAAGCTGGCATGAGCTGTGCTGGGGTGGCAGCGTTTTAGGGCGGAATGTACTTGGCAAAAGATGACGGCTATGCCAGATTGACCGAGGGTGGCATGGTATTTTGTCCTATTATACTCTGGTACCTCGGATAATTGGCTAGTTTGCAAGAACATGGCTTTTGCCAACATCTGCAATTTAAGTACCCCCAGAGGCTTGTTCATCAACCACACATACCACTTATAAAATCCATGACATCAGCTCAAAAAAACAAGCTACAGTATCTAACATGCAGTATCTATTCAAACACAGGTAGATGTGTCTAAATGGCCTATCAAACATGTGCCAAATGATTTCCTTATAAATAAAATGGAAGGATAGTTTCTTTTTCAAAAAAAATGTTAATTTATCTATTTGTTTGAAACAGGGTCTCATGTATCCCAGGTTGGCCCTCAACTTGCTATGTAACTCAGGATGAGCTTCATCCCGATCCTCGTTGCCCCACCTCCCTGCTGCTAACAGTATACAGCACCATGCATGGTTTCCATGCTGCTGGGATTGAATTCAGGGGCTTGGACACTCTGGTCACTGAATCACATCCCAGCTCCTCCATAAAACTTTTAAAAGATGTATTTGTCTTATATATATGAATGCTTTGTCTCCATGTATGTGCATACACCAAATGCATGCCTGATGACTGAAGAGATCAGAAAAAGGCACTGACTCCCCAGGGGCTGGAACCACAAATGTTTGGGAGCCACCATGTGAGTGCTGTGAACTGAAGCCAGGTCCTCTGCAAAAGCAGCAAGTGCTCTAAACCACTGAGTCATCCCTCCAGCCCCCAAATTCCTATAAAGCTTATTTTAATAATTCATGGTTTGGGGCTTATGAGATGACTCAGTGTAAAGGCACCTGCTGAACAGGTCTGGTGGCCAGAGTCCTTGATCTCTTGTAAAAGTGGAAGAAGATGCAGACTCCAAAGGTTATCTTTGGTCAAGCGGTGAGCTTTTAATCCCAGCACTAGGGAGGCAGAGGCAGGCAGATCTCTGTTGAGTTCGAAGCCAGCCTGACCTGTCTACAAGAGCTAGTTCCAGGACAGACTCCAAAACTACAGAGAAAGCCTATCTTAAAAACAAAACAAAAATTACATTTGACCTCCACATGTGCATCCCTTGTCACTAATACACATAGAGACAATTTTTTTTTAGGGGACGCACTTGGCTGTCCTGGAACTCACTCTGTAGATCAGGTTGGCCTTGAACTCAACAATAATTTTTTTTTCTTTAAGAACTGACACAAAATTTTTAAAAATCTTTAAGAAGTACTAACTGGACCTGGAAAGATGGCTCTGTGGTTAGGGGCAAGCACTGCTCTTTCTGAGGACCTGAGTGTGGTCTCTAGCTCCCTGATCCACAGCTCACAACCACCGGTAACTCCAGCTCAGGGATTCAACACCCTTGCTGCTCTCGCAGGAGAACTGGATTCAGTTCCCAACTCCCGCATGGTAGCTCACAAGCCCTGCAATCAGTTTCAGATCTGATGCCCTCTTCTGACTTCTGTAGGCATCAAGCACACATGAGGTCCATAACATACATGCAGGCAAAACACGGATACAAAACAAAAATTAATCTTTAAAAAGCTGTCTGAGAACTCAAGGAACCCAGAACAGCACATTTCAAATGCCCGCCAAGACCTGGACAGGGACAGGCACGTCACCAACACTTCTAAAGTCAGTAGCGGCATTCCTCACCTGACTCGGCACAGCGGCAAAGTGTCAGCGCCTTTCGGTATCAGACATGAAATGAGTGGCGCTACCTCACATTAGAATCATCACCCCGCAAAGTAAGCGGATCAAATGTCCCTCTTATAAACACACATGTGTAAGCTAAGTGGGCAACCCCCTTGCCTACACCAGGCCTCCTCAGAGCAGAAAGGATGGGTCCTCAGAGAGGGCGAGCGAGCATCGAGCAGCTCCTGACCTGCAGGAGAAGGACGAAGTAGTCCACGGGTTTGTTGCGCTGGTAGAGGTAGCACTCGGGGCTTTTCTTGTTCTTCTCATCGTACTTGAGCTCCTGGATGACATTGGGGTGCTTTAGCAGCCTTAGGAGGATCTTCTCTGACATCTGGGATGGGCTAAACGCTTCTACTTCTATAGACATAAACACAACTTGACATTACACTTCAGAGAAGGGCAGTTGAGGTGCTCAGATCGGAAGAACACTTGGAGACAACAATACAACACAGATGAACCAGGCTTCCATTTGGTGATCCACTGGGGTCAGATTACCTGGGAGAAATTACAGCAGTGGCATACTCATGTCTGACCCATTTAAATCTTTCCTTTCCAACCTGCCATTGGTTTCTGTCTCGTATGAGTGCCCTATAATCTCTGAATGATGGGAATGGAATTCAGTTATCAGCAGACTCCCTCCTTGAGAGCCAGGACACCCTTAAACACAAGCCACAACAGCCTGACTGTTCGCCAACAGCCAAGGGAGGAACCACGGTCAGGAAGCATTGAGGGTGGGGTGGGGGTTAGTGCCAGTGCATAGACCTGGGCTCCACCTCCTGCTCTCACACCGCTCTCCTGAGGAATTCCAGGGACCACCGAGGGAGAGAATCAGAATAAAAGCAAGGCCGTGCACACATCAACATGCACTCTGACTGGCCAACAGAGAGGGAAACAGTGATCGGTACTGACAAAGACAGTTATTTCATTTAAAACAACAGAAAACTCAAAGCTGCTGACTCCAGGGTGCGATCATAAATGTGGACTTCGTGGTCTCTCAGAGGCAGAGTAGGGTAACACAGTTTTAAGTGTGGTTCTTCCACAATGAACAACAACAGTACCAGAATAGGAAGAGAGTAATAGCAAAATATTGTTTAACTTATTTTTTGAATTAGATGCTATAAACAAAAGCTACAAATTCTGGATTCACGTTTGTGACTTTTTCATAGTTAAGACAGTACATTGCAGGGAATTTGGAAAATACAGAAAAATAAAATAAAAGTCCTCTGTAAGTTGACTGCTTAGACAGCCATTCCGAGCAATTTGGTGAGTATTTCTTTCTAGTGCTTTGCCTAGGCACATGTGCCTGAGTACGTATGTGTATGTGTACACATAGAGCTACAAGTGTGGTCATGGCAGACACATACTCCAATATCTAGGGGGTTTCTAATACGCAGAAGTCATGGACACTTTCCCATGTCATAAACGTGAACAGTGAGCACGTCCATGTATCTGACATAGGTGACATCTGCCACGTGTTGCTGCTGACCTTTTAGGGCACGTGTATAAACATATTGCACATGGTTGAAACTTACTGGCCCATCTTGGAAACAGATGTCTTCTGTAAGCCTCTGGGAGCTTCCAGATTTTTCTCACATTTCCTTGGCCAACAGAGCTCACCCTTCACCTTAGAGGGCCGTTTAGGGATGTGAGAGAATTAGTCTCTTAGGGCTTTCAACCTTGACCACTTGGAAGCAGTCAGTGCTGGCTGGACGGTGGCTTTAACCATGTGAACACTTGCCTCTGGATGGGGCCCAATTAACAATCTGACTTGAAGAAGCCACCAAGACATTCAGGTCAAACTTGTAAAATCTTTCATTTCATCAAAACCATAAAAGATAAGGATCTAATTCTGCATGTCTGTTTTCTTCTTTGAGTCTTAGCGCCTGCGTTACCACTGGTGTCCAACTGTTCTTCCAAGGCAAGCCGAAGAGAGAATTACTCAACTGTCCAATCAAACAAGGTGGCGCCTGGTTTGCACTGTCAGCCTACTCGGCCAGCTGGCTCACGCGTGGGGCTGAGCTGGCAGGAGATCACCTGGCCTACCGTACACATGCAGTGTGGCACTAACATTCATCCTTACCTTTCAGACCAATTTTAAGTTACTGGTCCACCCCTGGCAAATGTCTCAGAGGGTTCATGCCGACACTGAACACAGGAGAGGAGAGAATTTAAAGAGAACAAAACAAAACAGAACAAAAACAAAAACAAAAAAACAAAACACAAAGTGGCATTACTTGTCACCCCATTCCCCAGCCCCCACCCCCAGCCCCCCAGTCAGCTTGGTGAGGAAGGCTCCAGGGCCTGCAGATCTCACACTGTGATAAGCGCACTTGCCTGTTGCTAGGAAACGGTGCATGGCCAGGAGAAGCTGCGGTGATATTTTAACCTTCATCTCGCTGTCCGTCTGCTTGAAGGCAGAGAAATCTTGCTTCCTTTCACGGTGGGCCACTTTCTTTTTCGTTCTGTTGTCGGCTGAGAGGGGAATGAGGAAAGGAAAACACAAAATCAGGGCTCTTCATCGGCGAAAGACACAAAACACACTGTTTTGATCTCTCCAGGGACCGGCAGACTGGGCAGAGAGCACAGCCACTCCTGGGTCTGCAATAAGTCACAGCAGGACACTGGACTGCCTTAGAGAGCACCCACAAGACACGGCTGAGCAGACGGGACGAACCCCACAAGCAGCACACAGAATCACACAGCAGCAGGCTGGCCTCAAGTGCTACAACCACTCCAGGGGAAGAACTGCCACAGGCTACACCTGAGGGAAGCTGTCTGTGCCTCCCTCACACAGGGCCTCTCAGTCTCCTCAGTCCCAGGTGAAAGACAATAAACACAGAGGAGATTTCTCAAGAACAAGTCTCCTTCCAGGAATGCCCTGCTTCATTCCTGCCCCAGACTAGGAGATGGTCAAGGTCAGGCAACCAAGGGGTGGGGGGTGGGGGTCCGGGAGGAACAAACCAGCTTCCTCTGGAAAAGGCCAGGGGAAGCACTCAGGCTCCGGGCTTCTGTTGCCGACCCGCTACACTTTTCTGCAAGAGCAGCTGTGGATAAATGAGCACACACAGCCACACTGTACAGAAACTTCACTTTTGCTTAATTTCTACATGGCACAAAGTAATTATTCTTCTGTTGGTGTTTTTCCCCTCAGTCATTAAACATCATGAAAAGCCATTCTTGCCTTGTTAGGACATAAGAAGCCAGGTGGCAGATATTAATGGGTTGTGGTTTGCCAGACCCTGATCTAGAAGGGATTTCCCACAAAGCTGTTTCTCTTTGTTTTTGTTCTTTTTTAAAGAATAAATTGCTGATAAAGAAAAATTGATGTAACAAGACCCCAACTGTGTATAATGGCACTTACCTGTAATTTCAGCACTCAGAAGGCTAAGAAAGGAGAATTATATTGTCAAAGCTAGCCTAGGCTATGGTGTGAAACTCCATCTCAAACGCCACTACCACCACGTCAAAAAAGAAGAAGAGGAAGAAGAAGGAGGAGGAGGAGGAAGAGGAAGAGGAGGAGGAGGAAGAGGAGGAAGAGGAAGAAACAAGGGAGGAAGGAAGGAAGGAAGGAAGGAAAGAAAGAAAGAAAGAAAGAAAGAAAGAAAGAAAGAAAGAAAGAA